CGTGAGTTTTAAGCCACCGGGTCCGGGACATGAACCTCAGTCAACTACGTGGGAGTCCAGCGACATAGCCATTATGCTAACTGCTGTTTCCCTCGATAACTTTTCTTTTTCTAAACAACTAGCGCTTTATTGAGTTTTCCTAAAACTTTGAACCTAGTTTTTTTTTAAGCCTGTTTTCTTTTTAAAAATAAACTTAAAAGTTTTAAGAGTAGTTTTAGGTTTACAGGAAAATGGAAGGGAAAGTACAGAGAGTTCCCCCAAACTTCCAGACCTCTCGCATGCCTAGCCTCCCCTGCCATCATGCCCTGTGGTACATTCGTTACAACTGACACCTACGTCGACATGTCAACATCCAAGACCGTAGCTGGCATTACAGCTCACTCTTGGTGTGTATGTTCTGTGGGTTTTTGACAAGTTCGCAAGGACAGGTATCCGCCATTACAATACCATACAGAATATACAATTATACTGCCTTAAAAATCCCATGCTCTGTCCACTCCTTCCTTCTACGTGCCGAACTCCTGGCAACCACTGACCTCTTTACTGTTGCCATAGTTTTTCCTTTTTAGATGTTACATAGCTGGAATAATACGGTTTGTTGATTTTGCATATTGGCTTCTTTTACTCAGTAAATATACATTTAAGATTCCTCCATGTTTTCTCATGGCTTGATAGTTTATTATTATTATTATTATTATTATTATTTAGCGCTGAATAACAATCTATTGGCTGGATGTACCATAGTTTATTTTAACTTTTTTTAAAAAGCTATTTATTTATTTATTTATTTATTTTCATGAAAGAGAGAGAAAGACAGACAGGGAGATTCCCTCAACAGGGTCTCATCAGGCAGGGTCTTTCCCCCTGTACCCCAAGCCTTCCAGCCAACTAGGATCACTGGTGTACCCAGAGATATTCACAGAGTGTTCGGGTAGACCCAGGATCCAAACCCAGGGCCTCCCACATGTCTCTAGCATCATACAATAATGCCTCACTGCCTGCACTACTGAGGCTGAGCCTCAACTTAGCTTTTATAGAACCAACAGGTCTCTTTCCTTTTCTATTTCATTGCTTTACATAATTTTTAATTACACTGTTTAAATACAATGGCAAGTGAAACAAGCAAAAACAGGTTTGGAGCAAATGATCAATGATGCTAGGCAAACATAAGCAACCCAAGAACTGTGATCAGCATGTACTTGGTCGACTTGTGTTACCAAGAGAATGGGAAGCTCAGGGAACTCTGAATCTGTTAGCGAACGGTGGTTTGGGAAATGACCGCATTCATTACTGAGGAATTTGTGCTCCGTGGCACTCTGCGGGGCACATGCTGGCCAGACCAGGTTCTTCAACTGTTTTGACTATGCTCTCCTCAGGCAAAATGTTTTGATTACTTGCCTTTAAAATATGCATATTTATATTACATTATATTTTTACATTTGATTTGCTTATTTATAACCACAGTACTATCACTGGCTAATATCACACAGCACAATGTACTTGGGTGAGGGTCATAAACAATGAGAAAGAACATCAATCTACATTCTCCATCATTTCCATGATCTTTTAAAATTATTTGTCTGATTTTTAAGTTTCTTTCTTTCTTTTTTTTTTTGGAGACATTTTCACTATAGGGCACGTGCACTCACCAGACAGAGAGAGAGAGACATAGAGTCAGAAAGCGAGAAATCACCCCCCAGGGGGGATGGTCACGCCGCAATCCCTTCTCCTCCATTCTCCTCTTGGGATCTTGGGCACGCACGCACACGTGCCTGGTGTGAGTTTTAAGCCACCGGGTCCGGGACACAAACTGCGGTCAACTACGTGGGAGTCCAGCGACATAGCCATTATGCTAACTGCTGGTTCCCAAGTTTCTTTCTTTCATGAGAGAGAGAGAGAAGCACCCTCAACGAGGTCTCACACCTCAATATGCATGCCCCCCAGACTTCCCAGCCAGGATCACGGGTGTACACACCCAGAATGTTCCCCAGGTCCAGTGGGGAACTGAATTTGTGATATTCAATACAGATCCAGCATTGCTTGAGCAGTTCCTCACCGCTGTGTCAGCAAGCTGGCTCTGGCTTCTTACCAGATATAAGATTATCTTTCTTAACCTCATTATGTGGCTAAGGATAAGCCTGTGCCAAATTAGAAGTGTCATTTCTCTCTCTCTCTCTCTTATTTTTTTTTAATTTTTCCAGAGGGTATATGCATTCACAAGAGAGACAGAGAAAGAGACAAAGTACAAGAGAGAGAAAGTGAGAAAGCCCCCTCCCTTATGGGAAATGGTCACACTAAATCCCTTTCCTCCATTTCTCTTTCTTGTCGGGATCTTGGGCACACGTACACGTACGCCTGGCATGTTTTTCAAGCCACCAGGTCAGGACTCGAACCACGATGGTGGCTATGTGGAATCTAGCACCCCAACCACCACGTCACCGGCTGTCCCTATTATTTTCTTATCATTCACTGTGGAGGGCCTCCCTGTGATCATCCTGAGACTCCTCAATGTACAGTGTGGCATGAGACTCCTTACATGTGGCCTAATCGATTCGGAAGTCTCACACTTTCTTCCCACGCCTTGGGATTCATGCATTCCACTTTGATGATTGATCTACCTACTCAGAAAAAAAATCAGAAGATCAATTTAAAATTACGTCAATGCCAAAATGTCAAAATGGGGGATGGGAGAGCCTTTTGAAGCAATGGAGCCCATCTCTCTGCTAAGGCAAGCCCTGAGGCTGAACACGGATGTCTGTCACCACTTCTTAAAAATATCGTGAGAGGGCACACGTGCTCACCAGGGTCAGAGAGACCAAGAAAGAGAGCGAGAACGCACCCCCCAATGGGGCACGGTGGGCATACTGCCATCCCTTCTCCATCTCTCCACCCGGGTGGGATTTGGAACAGACACACATGCACTTGGAATATTTTTCAAGCTGCTGAGTCTGGAACTTGAACCACGCAGCTGCCCACGTGGGATCTGGCTCCCTTACTTACCAGGTCACCGTGCTGGCTCTGAAGCCACTTTCGCTAGTTCTCAGGGGAGCACTAGTTCAACTACCAAGAATCAGCACAAGTCTGGATACCTTGTTTTCAGAGGCTCACTGGGAAACTAGAAGCTCATTCAGAAGCTGTAAAAAATATTATGTTCCAAGGCAAGGTGGGAGGAAGGAAGGTGGTGGAGGGAGAGTCATAGTTCAGGTTCCTTTTTGGGTGGGTATAAATGTAGACAGCAGATTCATTTTTTTGAAGAGTCTAAGAGAAAGGACAACTGCTTCCGCCGTCTCCCTTAATTCTTTCCATTTCTAACTTCCCCTGGAGAAACTCCCACTGAGAGGCTAGCCTTGACCACAAAGGCTGGTCTCTGCACAGAGAAGTCACCCGTGCTTGGAAGCGCCGTGACTATCTCTTGTGCTGAGATGCCCAGTCCCTCGGTGGGGCTCCTAAGGCTTTATTACCTTCTTCGGAGGAACCCAGCCCACAGAGGTCTGGAGGAGATTAAATGAGAAAAGAAGTGTCCAAAAGCCCTCCTCGCACACACAGTGGGGACACCGTCACCTACACTGGGGGAAGAGTCATGCCTGACAGACCAAAGAACCAGAACCAAACCAAATCACAACAACCCTCTTAATACTGGTAATTATTTGCAAAGTCTTATAATTACAGAAGCCAAACAAGTCTCTAGAATTGGACAGTGTCCTTTAGCCAAGGGGTTGGAAATAGTGACCTTCCCTCTGTTCAAAATAACTTTATCCTCCCTCTGCCTAATTCGCATTGGCCCCTTACTGAAGGACCTTTTCAAGCACCCGGGGCGAGGCAGCACAGCCACAGAGCCGAGATGCCTACCGTCCCCTACCCCCG